AGCTTCTACTGTGAGCTCCACCAGCCTGATGATTGAGGGAGTTTTCATCTAGTGATGCTCAGGAATCCAAATGCAAAGGTTTTAATGGGTCAGATGCACCAAAAGTGGCAGGCAAGGAAGAGTCAGGCCTTCCTGTGTGAAAACATACACTGAGAATTCACAGCATGTGGAAATTACTTCACTATGGGAGAAGGGAATGAGAGGCTGATAACCTCAAGAATGCTATCCACATCTTTCTTTCGACAGTCAAATGAAATCCCTGTCTCTTTGGAGGTCATTTGTACTTTTTGACAATGACAGCTATGGCATACATAATGCTCTGGAGCCCTGACCACCAACTATTTCATATATTGAAATCATTCTGGTAAATAAGTAACAGCAACTCACATACACTAAGGCTTGTAAAACTGAGCCACAAAATATTAGCGTTTCATGGGGCTTCCTTGCTCACAAACTATTATTCCCATACTGACTCCAACACATAAGAGAGGTCACATGTATAGAGGCTCTTCCTCCCAGGCTATGCAGCATGTAACAGTCTCAGACTTTGCTGTATTTTAATTTGAAGGCAGCTATATTATAAACTTGCATCACACTGAAACATTACTTTTTCTGCAGGAAAGTAATGCTACTCCTGCAGAATAGCATGCGAAGAAGTGACAGGTACCAAGTTTGTTTTTCTTCTGGACTCTCCTGCCTCCGACACTGAAGACTCTCCACACCTTCAACTTCTGCTGTTTCAGATGAGTCAATGAAAAAGGTAAGTGGCCGTATCTCTTACTGCGCTTGTTAAGGCTAGTTGTACTGAAGTGTAATGCATGGTATGTGATGAAATCTGGGTCTTTTCTGCTTTTCAGTCCAGGTAGGAAAAAAATATGGTAAAGGATAAAACATCCCTAAAAATTCTGCTGAGAATGTGGAAACCACAAAATGGCATGGTCGTAAGGGGATAGAAAATAAGTGATAGCATAGGGAGGCAGACAAAAAAATTCAGTACCACCACATTAAAACTGGCTATAAGAGGAGTATTATAGTGTAGCACATCTAAATAAGGCTATTACAGTCTAGTCTGTGAAAACCCAGGTGAATAAGTATACAGATACCAGCCTATGAATAAAAATAGATAAAAGCTGCATAATTTCAATATCTTTATTATATTAGTAGTAGCTGATAATTTAGCAGAAAATAAGATGTGTGCATCTAAATTAAGAATCATAATGTTCTGAAATGGTTAATTCGCAAATGATATGTTCACAGCAAAATACAATCATGGTCATTATCTTTCCTGTCACTGGTGTAGCTCACACTGGAACACCAGATGGAAAGGCCAAGGCTATATTGTCTCATTGTGAACCAAATCACCTGTTCCTGGGAGAAAGGATTTTTCTGAGAATCTAGGTGTAGGTTTAGGCCTTCCTCTAGTTTTGTGTTACTGTGAAAGAAGCAACTCCAATAAAATCAGAGATGTTACTAGTATAGAAGTACTGTAGGGATGCTTTATTTAAGTTTCTATTGCTTCTTCAGCTGGTAGGGGACACAGCTAACTTTGTGGACAAAGATGGGAGGTTATAGGGATTCTTCATGGAATTTCAAGTTAGTCCAAACAGAGGCTTCCCTGCTTTTTCTTAGTAGTTTAACTTACTTGGAGACCATAGTGCAATTTACCTATATTCTCACAATCATGTTACTCTTCTTCTGCAAAGCTGGAAGATACAGAAGTGAAAGTTCATATCAAATATGTAACATAAGCACTGAATAATTTTCCCTAGTTAAAAGTGAGATGATGAGTCATGAGTTCTACAAGATAAAGTTACTTATACATCTCTGGTGCAAGGAGCTGCCTTTCTGTAAGACTTTCTTTTAAAATAGTAAGAAGAGTGCTACAAGATCTTATGTACACAAACTTGCTTTGAGGTGTGCAGCAAAACAGAAACATTGAGGTCTTGCCTATACATTAATCAAGGATACTTCCCTGCCGTTAAGCTAAACCACCAGGACAGAGCCATGATGTACCTGAAAGCTCTATAGGTTTAATGTACAGTCCCTTTTGCAGGCTGTGCTGACTTTTTCTGCTGCAAACATAGAAGACAAGTGTACATCAATGAGCAAAGCAAGCCAGTGAAGATTTCTCAGACTTCAGCAATAACTGTGTTCTTCTGTCTCACTTTCTGATCTAATGGAAATTAGCCTAGTTGGTTGTGAGTAGTTCATGTTGCACATTATGCTATCTAAAAAGACTCCCCCGCCACTAAAATACTCTAGCAAATCACATCCCTGTTTCTTACCTGTCCAATGTGGTTAAAGTCACTAGCAGAAACTTTGTTTGAGCAATGAAAACAGTAGCTGAAAATCTAATACTTTCTCATGCAGATATGGCATTCACATGCAGACACAGACATATACCAGTATGGTATCACTAAAGTATCTCTCATGTTAACCAAACCGACTAGCGTGCAAGTTTTAGCACTATTTTCCCCATAACTCCCTGCTAACTAAGGTGTTATGGCTCTGGGGAAAAACAAACCTCTTGCGATTAAATATTTTTTTTCCTATTTCATTCTGAAAAGTAGTATTTGTCTTATTGCACAAATTTTAAGGTGAAAACAAATGCATTGTGAATTTAGGTGCAAGACAATGATTGCTAAATTTTGATTCTGTGATTCAGAGAAAGCTTTGTCTTCCCTGTATCATAATTCAGCACTGCTTAACAGGACTTGGTTCACTGTGTATGACTGAGACGCTTGATTTTTTTTATATACAAAAATTTAGATATTCTTAAACTGGGAAAATAGTGCACTAAGACAATATACATCAAAGAGGACTTTTTTCCTTAAATGAGAATGTTAGTAACAGCCTGGAGGGAAAAGTTAAAAGATTAAAAGTTATGGATCAGCATGGAGGCTTCTTAATGAATGCCTCATTAGGGTCAGAAAAAGGAAACCAAAGGTAGAAAGGAAGACAGTATGGGTAACTGATAAAGTACAAGAGCTTATTCAGACCAAAAAAATCTTTTAAAATGATAACACAGCTGAGCCTAAGAAAAACTAGTAATATTGTGAATGTTAGCAAGTACAACATAGAAAATGTAGAGGCCTAATTGTGCTTTCACTTACACAAAATCCCTATTTAAGGAAGGTCATATGAAGGCTACAAGGAAATTTGATGACTAGCCAAATAAATACAAGTAATGTATTCATGTTTGTGTAATTCAGTGGGACTAGCATGGTGCTAAGGGGTTAATCAAAGAGAAAGAAAGTCAAATAGAGACAGCTTAATCCATGTCAGAGTGAAAGGTATTATCACCCATGATAAAACAGACGCTGCGATCCCCAGTGCTTTGTCTGGAAGGCAGCACACTTAATAGAATTATAGCAAAATAGATATTCTGCCAAATTTGTACAGCTTGTTTCCTTTTTTTCCCCTCCCAAAATAAAGTTTATTAGCCAATTTGAAAATAAATTCAGTAATTGGTGAACTCTTTACTATCTCGTTCCTCACAGATGCTCCTTTGAGGTACTGAGGACCAGCAATAGAGGTAGCCAAACTAGGAAGGATGGAACAACTCAAGAAGTGAAATGCCCTTTTGTTGTTGTTGTTTTTTTCTTTTTCAAGCACTTTACACTTAAAAAAAACCACTCTTCACTTCAGAAAATAGCATTCTAGTGCCTAAAGAACAGGTGCCTCACTGTTACAGCCAGAGCGCGAGCTGCACTGAAATGCCTGAAAAAGGTAGTGCTGTGCTGTCCGAATGGTCACATGCAAGCTTTACTTTAGCACCAGAAGAATTACTAATTGAGCTGAGCGAATGCTTGGATGTGTGATTGTCCTGTACTGATATGCCTTTTTTGATAAGGCGTTTAAGAACAGTTGGTGAAATGGAACAGCATGATAAAGTGTATTGAAGCTCAAAATATTCTTGAACCCTTCTCTAGAAGGTGCTCTGTAGGAGGCGTATGGGTTAAGAAATATGTTTAACCTGAATTAAGGCCTGATTTGAGAAAAACGGTAATTGTCTTAACATGGAAAGTTGCTAATTACAAAGCTAACAGTAAAATAATGAGAGAATATTAATGCTAGAGCTAGAGTGCCCTTAGAAAGCTTTTTGTGCCTGCCCTGTGCTCTCTGCTTCTGACTGTTACACACTAAGGAGAAAACCTAGGGACAGAAAATCCAGAGGAACTACTAGAAACTCAGTGCTGTCAGAAACGCATCTACTCCCACTAACTCTTGGGATAAGCATACCTCCAAGAAAAAAAAAAAAGGAAAATTGTATGAGCTTTTAGGCTAGGGTATCAGGAATGGGAGAGGAATGGGGGGAGAAAGGAGAAAAAAATAGGATTTTTATTAAGAAAGACAAAAAGGAGAACTCTGTAAACTCTGATTGGGAGGGTCATGCATGGTTTCTAAATAAACAAGTTCAGGCTGCATCTTTGTACATTCTGTGCTGAAGCTTTGAGCAAAGGGTCTGGCCAGGCTGTGAGGATGCTAGAACAGGGTTAAGCGGAGGATAACTGCCAACAGAACATTTTTAAGGAAGTCAGCTCGTGCATTTTTCTCCCTTGCGTAAGCCCCCCAACATGAAAGAACAGCTGTTCAGTGGTTTTCTGGAGTGTTTTACTACTTGCATGGGTGTTTCTGAGCTAGAAATGCTGAGGCACAGTACTTTCATTCAGTGTATCCCTCTGAGTTTTCTACAAACGAAGGGAACTCAGGAGTGCTGTTTTATATTCTATTTATGTTCCTATACTGTATCTGTTGATTTTATATTCCACTAGTCAACAATATATCAGTAACTGGCAAATTTGTACCATCTAGAATAGAGAGGAACTAGGAATCTAGGAATAAAGAAAGGAATTAGTTAAAATTGGGGATTTGGTTAAATCATTCTTTGATCTGGCCTTAACTTTAATTAGAGCCTTCCTCTCAAACAGTGAAATACTGACTAAATCTTGGTCTTGCCCAAATTCAATACCAGTTTCTTTAGATATTGCCAATGTTACCTTTTGCTGTAGCTTGCTTTTTGTCTCGTCTTCAGTCATGCCACTCACTGACGCACTGCCAATCTGATCTCACTGTCCTGCTGTGAGGTTATCTTCAGTTATTACCCATTTTCTGTCCCTATAAGAGAAATGCTACTCAACTACAATAAAAGCAGATAAACACCATAAATAGTAACCAAGCATTCTAGCCAGCATTTTTATATAGCTGATACCTGGACAGTTTTGCTATCAAGCACAAACCAAATGGAATGAAAATTGTAAGAGGCCTGAGAGCCCCAAATCTGTAGTACTTTCAGATGATGGTGCAACAGAACAGTAACAGCATGCCACTCTGAGCATTACATTTTCCTACCCATGGTTATGATTCAGTTGAAAGCCCAAAGTAATTTTAGTCTAATCCATCATTTATCTGAAGATAAGTCAGTAAATGATTAGACCAGCCACTCTATTTCATATGCACTTTGTCTCAAACAATCACAGCTGTTAGGATTTACAATAAAGGTAACCTCTTAACTTACTTGTTACAGCTGAGGTAAAAAGCAGAGCATGAGTATTGTACCTTCTCTCGTTTGTCAGATTTGTTAAATTCCCTACAATGTTCAAAAATAATACAGATTCTTCTAAGGCACATCTTTCATTGTTTTCTTTGCTAAAAGATGATTTTTAGAAGATGATATAAAACACGGCATAAATGCTCTGAGTACAATGACTTCTGGATAGACTGTGTGTATTGGTAAAAGAGATCTTATGAGACAAATTTGTTGATGTAAAGTGAACTAAAAAACATTGTGGTTAGCAAAACTTACTGACTTGTTTTTCATCTTGCAGGGTTTTTAAGACCACAGGGAAGACACATAAAATAAGATGATTGGTAACTTTCTGTGCAATAGCAGTTGTATACAAGACGACAGCCCTGTTGGAGCCTTCCTGGTCTTGGCACTCACCAGGTTGCTGTGTCTGGGCGGCCTCATACACAAGGTCTATACATCTTTAAGCTCCAAGAGTAAGTTATGCTGCAGCCTACTCAGAATTCTCCAGTGTGTTTGAACTCAATCTGTGCTACATGCTAAAATTTCTACTTTGCATAAAATGGTAGTTCCAGAACTGGGATCTGATTCACCTTGAAAATAGCATCACGCTTCTAGAGTGAAGCCCTATAACCCTAGTGTCTTGATAAGTAGCTGGGGTTCAAAATTCTTAGCAATAGCAACCTCTGCTTACTCCTGTTAGCATGGTAGAAACCAATGCTGCAGGGAGGAGGGAGGAGTAAGTCTTCCCTCCCCTTTCCCCTCTCTTTACCAATACTCCTTATTTCTAGCTTTATCTTTGGAATTCTGCAATATTTCTAAAACTTCCTTTGTGATGTTCTGCAATTTTCTCTCACCTTGTTTCTCAAAAGTGATCCTAAAAGTGCAGAGGCTGACTTTAAAAATCCCATAGCTTTCCCAAGGAGGAACTGTCCACAGGTCAAATCTGCTATCCAGGAACACTGCAAAACTGTTAATTTTTATTTGGGAGAAACATATGGCAGAACACTATCATCAGTAGCGCAGAGGACCACTTCTGATGGAACTGTTGCACAACCAAGAGCGCGAGGCATGAACAAGCCTTATCTAACTTACTCTCCATAAGAACTGAAACAAGATTAGCTAAATCTCTAGTCTGAGTAAACACACAAGAGTCTACAGTATATGTAAAAATATGATGTGCTCAAAACCAGATAACAAGATTGGGAGTTTTACAGCATGTCTGCATGGGCACAGCATTGAACTAATTCCTTAGGCCCTTGCTATATACTTCCAGAATATAGACTCCTCATCTCTTTCTTCTTCATAGAAATGGGCCCGTGTCACTCAGCTGCCATGGCTGTAGTGGCCAGGCTATACCCTGTCCCAGTTCTCACAGATGTAAGCACACCCCTGGCAACTCTGAGAGGATTCTGAGATTACGCTTTGGTTTTTGGAGAGATGTGATACTTCAAAATAAATGCAAGATGTAAAATAGAAGCAAGAATTTGCAAGAGGTCTAAAGCACAATAGTGCAATTACTCTTTAACTAGCATTAGAATCTAGATGCATTAATATTCTCATGAATAGTCTAGGTGAATTAATAGTGTTCATTTTGCTTAGTTTTTCCCCCTCTTTCTGCTCTCAGTCATTCAGATTCTATTCCCTACAGAATATTCCCCACAGTCTCTTTTGCTCTGTTCATGCAGTTCCACTTACCTGCCTGAGCTCCATACGTTATGGTTAAGGAAAGAAGCATTTTTCATAAACTTCCAGACCTCCTCTTAGGTAGCACTGCCACAAATAGTTTTTTTGCAGGGTTTTGTTTTGCCTTTTTCCCCTCTCCTCTAATTTGGCTATTTGGCCACTCTCTGGCATACCTAATATTCTGCCCGGGTAGATATTTTCTGATGTCAATGAATCTTGTTAAGCCATTTCCCCAACCCAGCTTTAGGTGTAATATATTCAGATTAAGTTATAGCCTATTTCTCCTCTTACTGAGGTGTCTCTTAAAAGACAATAACCAAATTTGGCCAAAAAAGCACAACGAGATTAACCAAGTAAACTGAATCAGATGTGATATTTTATTATAGCAGTGTATAAAAATCCATGGTCTCTTTCCAACCTGAGACAGAACTTGACCTTTCATGAAATCATCAGGCAAGAAAAAGAGATGAAGTGTTGGAATCATAGGTTCAAGGCAAATACTCGGGGGGAAAAAAATGGTGTTTTCACAGTCTGATTAGATACCTTAAAATGTGTGCAATAATAGCCCTAAGACAGATTATGAATACTCCAGGTGACACTCATAGATTCTGGACCTCAAGATGGTTCAGAGAAATAGTAGTGAGGAAATGAGTATTCTGTGACTATTTAAAACATCTTCACCTGAGACTATATTTTTGCATAATAAGAATTTAACCAGGACAGTGTAGTGAGAGTTTGTAGTTTATGTAACTAAGTTACCATATTAATTAGCAGAGCTGTAGTAAAGAGCCACAGGAAGTACCAGTGAAAAGGATCACCTAAATGTGTTCCTTTAAGAAACATAGAGGATAAAATTACCACACTGCAGAAAAATCCGAAGTGTAGGAAAATGCAGTTACTGCATCTGAAACGAAACTTAACATGAGGCTCTCCAACATTTCCACGTGTGTGTATGCAGTTCCTACATTTCCAGACAATTGTTCTAGAATATGTGGTTAAATTACCAGCTTCACATTCTGTATCTGCCTCTCTTTCTACAGTGCTACCAACAGTAGCAAAAGAATGAGCTACGTATCAGTTATTGACTATAATTCATTCAGCAGATAAGACATAAATACAAATTTTTTCCTGTTCTAAGAGAACTATAAAAACAGATTGTGGCGCTGTAACATGTTAAACTGAGAGTAGAGTCGTGCCATTTTTAAACGGAGAGGGGTTACACTCCTCTTTCCTGCAATGCTGTGGATACCAGCATTTCTGCCTGGTCTTTACTGGCTTAAAAGTGAGCAACTTTCTAGTTGCGCTTTACACGTGCTGTCCAACCCAAGCAAAGCATTGCTGCCAGGCAAGAAGGCCGGGCATCTCACACCGCTGGAAGAGGGCCCACTCCTCTCTCCTCCAGTTAATAAAGAACTAACTCTGTTTCTCTCTACTACCTTGACAGAAGCAAAAGAACAAGACTAACTATATTAAAGTTTCATGGTAAATATGATTTTTGTCTTTCTAAGTTGTACAGGACCAGTTTGCTTTTACAGTTTAGCAACATAAACTGGGAAGACATAACTCTGACATTTTGACTGCTGTGTCGTTTGTGTTGTATA